TTAGACTTTCGATCAAACTTGAGTAGACTTTAAATCTCTCAAGTATCATTGATGCCAAAACTATTTGACAATGTCAAATATCTTATGCACTATTTTTAGAGATTTTGTCAGCTCAAACAGAGATTTCACGAGTCTATAGACTTTTTGTCTGTTTTGATAAAGTCATAGTTTTTCTACTAGAAAACATTTACACCTTAGAAATATAAACCCTTCTGATAAATCAATTATCTCTCATATATGATTTTATTTGTTGATTTTAATCAACCCAATAATTCAAAAGAATTATGGGCCAAAAGAATTAATCTTTTTAATAAAGCCAATTTGTAAAATCTCTAAACCCAAACCAAAGTCTGGTTCGGGTATCTCCTTTCTCTAATACACTAAAATATTCTAAGGTGTTTGAACCTTGTTATGAGTTTTCCATTTTATATATTTGAGGATTTTATATCCAAAATTCCAATGTGGGGTATTTTGCTAGTTTTTAGACTTAGCTAAATTTTGAAACTTTACACGCTATCAAGTCATCCACTTTGGACATCTACTTCTTATTCAAATCAACCTCGATTTTGAAAACTATCGGCAACGATTCTAACATGCCTAAAATCCGTTCATTCTGATGAACGTCTGCACCGGAAATCTCATCGAAAAATGGTCGTAAACTATTTTGTCGAAAACGAGTTCCAACAGTGTCATCCATGTGGAAAAGAAAGCGTGAGCTTTCCTTTTTTGTATTTCCTACATCTTCCAATGTTGATTAATAACTCTTATGTCCAACACTCTCACGAAAATCACTCGTAGTAATTAGGGTGTCGAACAACGTAACTGGAAACCGGTTATATACGGAAATAATAAAACAGAATTCATGTTTTTTTTCTTTCAGAATAGGGTTTGCAAAACATAATGTATGTTAAACCAAAAATCGAAACACTGGATAGTTGAAGGTCTAAGAGAAAGCGAAAGAGAGAGTTGTAAATTGATGAAACAAAAAAGCAGAGTTTAAATAATGAGTGAAACACAGGTGTTTCAGGGTT